GGAAATACCACCTAACACCAGAGGCACTACAGAGGGGAACCTACTGGCTTACAGAAGAAAGGGAGCAGTCGCTTTCCGTAGTAGTTCTGGAATGCTGCGTCCAGCAAAAGCAGCTGGATTGGAGGTTGCCCAGGTATGGTCCAGTCAAATCTGGCCCCACTGTCTGCTTAAAGGTTTATTGGAAGAATGATGTTCACTTATTTACATACAATCACCGTTCTGCTACAATGGCAGTTCGGTAGATGTGGCAACTACATTCAACTGCAAGATTCCCTCGCAAAAACGTGGATATAACTGTTAATAGTGGTACAGTTTTCAGTAGCAAAAGAAAAAAAATCCTTTAACAGTGAGCAGAACGTAGTGAGTCTGCTTCATGGAACATTACTTGGCCAGAAAGTCATTGGCAAATCAGGAACACACTAAGAAGCTAGACTCAAAGGCTAGATATTGCAGGATTCTATCTGTGTGGAATGTGACTAAGCAGATTCTGTATTAGTGGGTTGGGGAGATGACTCAGTTGATACAGTGCTTGCCACACCAGCGTGAGGACCTGAGTTCAATTCCCCGGGATCCACACTTTAAAAGCCAGGTGAAGGAGTTGGAGTGTTAACTCCGTAGTTAAGAACACTGGCCACTCTTCCAGAAGACTTGAATTCAACTCCCAGCACCCATTCAGTCACTGTAACTCCAGTTCCAGGGGATCCAACATGTATGTACTATAGGTACAATACATACATATATTGTGCAGACATGCATATCTCCAAAGCACCCATATGTATAACTTTTTTAAATTTTTAATGAATTAGAAAAAAAGATGCAGTGGTACATGGCTGCAATCCTAGCAGAGGGGAGGCAGGGATAGTTTGGAGACAGGGACTTGCTAGCCACTCAGTCTAGCCAAGTTAGCAAACTCCAGGCTCAGTGAGAATTAAGGAGAGTGATGGGGACACCCAGTCTCAACCTCTAAGCTCCACACTTGGGCACATGCACAGTGGATTAGTGTTTTCTAAAGGCTGAAAGGGCAGCAGGAATTGACTGCAAATAGCTACAGGGTTTCAAGGGGGATATAAACGTCCTGGTTTACCCAAGCGTGTATCTGAGATATACTAAAACCCTGAGCTGTGTACCAGCAGAGTTCAGTTTTTTTTTTTTTAAAGATTTATTTTACTTATTTCATGTTTGTGAATATACTGTCACTGTCTTCACACTAGAAGAGGGCATCAGATCCCATTACAGACGGTTGTGAGCCACCATGTGATTGCTGGGAATTGAACTCAGGACCTCTGGAAGAGCAGTCAATGCTCTTAATCGCTGAGCCATCTCTCCAGCCCCAGAGTTCAGTTTATATCCCACTTATCCTAGCATCCTTGTGACTTTAGGTCTGCTTCTGTTCCTGGGCCTTCTCCCGTGTATGTACAAATGTGTAGGAAAGGAAAAGGCTGGTGCAATTTGAGAATAATCTCGAGTTCCCTCAGAATCCCACTTCCTCTGACTTTAATCTTCAATTATCTGATTGAAAGCACTCTGACAGATGCCACTGGATCTTCAGAGCCACACTGCAGAAGAGGCATTTTCTTCATGCGAAAGTGGTTCAGAAAAGCCGAACAACTTGCCCATACGCAGTGGACAGGGGCTGGTGCCCTTTACACATCCCCCCCACAGCATTGCTTCCTCATGTTGGACCTCTTTAAAAAGCCCAAAACCAGGTAGGCAGATGTCACGAGCAGGAACCCGGCAGCACCGATCCTCTTCAGCCTCACAGGCCTATCAACACCGCAGCCATCTGTATTGGTGTGTATTGGTGTGGATGCTAAGTTCATACCCAACAGACACAGGCAGCCTGACCTCTAGTGAAGAGGATGTCGCAATTCAGGGGAGACCTAAGAGATCAGAATTACAGGAGTGGCCCCTCTCCCCTAAGACAGAGGCCTTACAAGGGGGCAGCTCAATCCTTGGGAAAGGGAAAGGTGTGGGAAGGGAAACACCTCATCCTTCCTGCCCTTGGTCAAGCAGAGCAACTGAAGACTACCAGTGGAGTTAGTGTTCATTACTTAATTTAGGGCTAGGCCTAAACCTTAAGATGTGCCAATGAGAACCGCACCACTCCTGTCTCCTACGCCGTAAGCTGGAGCTTTAGCAGTGCTAACAGCTGAGCGGTTTTGGATGATTCAGTTTTCTCATCACAAAGCCATTTGACTAATGACCGCTCTTGAGGACTCAAGCAATGTTTTAAAAATGAAATGATCTTATTCCTCTCACAGAGCTGGCAAGCAAGATGGTCTAAGCCTTGCTATAATCCAAGATTCTTCCAGAAGGCCAGGTGACCCCCATCAAGGGGGCTGCCTAGACTGGCGGATGATGCTTCCATCTGGCCAGGAAATACTTTTCTAGTACTTGCTGCAGATGGGCACAGCTATGCTTCAAGATAAAGCAGTGGGGAGTGTGGGCAGAGAAATAAGTGAGGCAAGTTGGCATCCTGTGCAGAAAAGGGTCAAGGCAATGGGAGGCACCATTCTGCATGATGTCCAGATGTCGGGTATTTGAGCAAAGGCTAGAATAGCTATACCTTGGGCCTAGGCTAGGTCACAGCTCAGAGACAGGAGACTGCTAGCTACACTATGGACACCTCCTACCCATTGTTACACTGCTAGTCTCTACTGGCTACCCTCCACTCATGCTCAGTGCTTATTCTCTAGAGAGAAAGGACTGACCCTCTCCATCCCCAATACCAGGGCTAGAGGAAGCTCCATGACTGAAACACAAGTGGAGTCCCTTTTTCTCCATCCCACCTGGCCACAGCTTTGAGTGCCTGATTCTTCTGCAAGAATTTCAGTTCCTGTCTTTCTTCCACAGTCCCATGTGACCTTGTTTATCATGCCCTTCTAGGGATCCACAAGGTGGTCTCCAGGAAGTCCTACAGAACGAGACTGGACTTACTGTGCAGGAATGTGTTGTCACGGGTAACATTTGGAGCAGAAATAGCTAACTTTGAGTCCTTCGGTCCCCTCATCTCTGCTAAAACTTGAACAGAGCCCTTGTCCTAGAATGCCCAAGGCCCCAACTCTCTCAAGCAAAAGAAGCAGGACCTACAGGCCCTTAATCCTTTGGTACCTCACTGTTCCAGTCTTCCCCAAAAGATCCAGCCACCCAACTTCATACCTGAAGCCCTGCCTACCTCCTACACTCACTGAAAACACACTCCCTTCTACCTCACCCTAGGAAACGCTGACCTAACCCCAACCACTGGGCGACACTAACAGCATCAGGCCCACCAACCCTTCGCTCCCAAAGAAACCCCAACAGCTCAGAAGTGCATCAATCGACCTTTAATGTCCAAAAGAGGCGTGGATGCAGAGCATAGATGTGGCAGGGTCTCAGTCCCTGCATCAGAAATGAAAGATGAACAAAAATGAGACACTTCCAACTGGCCAGAGTCTGGGAGGGCAGGGAGAAACACAGATCTGGACATTCATAAGAAAAATAAAACCTAAAACCAAACATTCAATCTTGTACCCAATAAAGGTTTGAACAGGGAACTCAGTCACCACCAGTTCCCACCCTCCCCTGCCAGCACTGAAGAAAAACAAAAGCTCAACACACACAAAGGGCTTAGGAGGAAGGGGCATTCTCCTGCCTTCCCCCGAACCCCAAGAATGGGCTGGGGAAAAAAATAGCTAGATTTCCCCAACCCTTACAGTGTCAACCCTACATGAGTTCTGAATGTGATTCATAAGAATCAGCAGCTCAATTGGCAATGACAACCCCCACCCCCACCCCCAATCCTATCACCGACAGACAAGGTTTCCCTTGTACCTTCTCTGGAATCTCCTCCCACTCACAGCCCTTCTCTATCTCCTGACTCCCAGAGATCATTACTATACTTCAGACCTGTTCTGAGGAGCCCCTCCCCCAATTACTTCCATTCTCACTTCCCACTAGAGACCAGTCACCAACTGCCACCCCCCTCCAGCCTGCCCACAGATCTAACTCCAGGACAGATGTCAGAATGGCCATCCTGTTCTGGGTGACCTTCCAAAAACTTTCCCAGGGAACAGACAGCCACAGGGCAAAGCAGAGTGTCCAAGCAAGGTGACCTGAGGGGAGGGGGATGGTCTGACACCAACCTTTCCTTACCCTCAGAACAGGTAACATAAAAGCCCACTTAGAACTAACTGTCCCCTACCTCCCACACACCCTAGAGATTCCACTATCCTGCCCCTTCCCACCCTTCTACCCCAAACCCACCCCCACACGCACACAGACAAACACAAACATACACAAAGAAGAATCAAGGGGACATTGATTTGGTTTGATTGCTAAGACCTAACTAAGGAACTACAGTCACCAGAAATTCTCTTGCCAGCCAACAATAGGGGCTGCTCTAAGAGAACTGAGGAATGAGAAAAACCGAGGGCTAAGCAGGGAGCAGACAGAATGTAAAGGGAAAAGCCAAGCTAACCCTACTCCCATTATCCTCCCAACATGACCTCTGGCTGGAAGAATACGGGAAGGTGACCCACGAAGACACAAACCCTTACTTAGAAATCCTGACAGACGGCAAGACGAGTCTGCTCCCCACTCCCACACCACAAACATCTTAGGGCCCCTTAGAGACTGCACCCCACCCACCCCTGCTCCAAGCCATAAAGTCACAGTTCTGTGGAATATTCTCCCTGGTACTAGAGCAATCCCCCCACCCACCTTCCTATCCCTCTCCTCGCCAAGCCTAACCCTGTCCTCACAGCCTCCCCGGCCTCCTACAATAGCGCCCACCGTCCAAGAGGCAGCTGCAGCTTAATAGCTGCCTCAGACCTATTTCTATTTCTCGGCCCTCCCTGGTCTTCAGGGCTTCGCTGAGGGCCTTTTATTTTTATCTAGGGAGAGAAAGAGAAAAGGAGGGGTGGGAGAGATTTCCTAGTGCAGTACAACCAAAAAAAATAATGTTAACATCTTAAACATAAACGTAAAGCAGCCTTCTTCCCCAGGCAACTAAACAGAAAGAAGTTTGGTTTTTGTTTACTGCGACACACACATGAAATCGAGTATACAGTCCATGCAGTAGCACAGCCATTGGAGAGGACTTCCTGATGCTGGCCCCAGTGCAAAACAGTCCCAGCAACGCCGCCTGCTTGCCATCGCTGCCGCCGCCACTGACACCTTCACCTTGGCCACCTAGCCTGACTTGAAGAGGAGGATTGCAACTTGACCCAAGTAAAAATAGATGAAGTGCTTTGTCTCGTGTGTGACATAGCTGCCAAAATTTCGGCCCACGATACAATGCCAGGTAGGGTTATATTTCTTGTCAAATTCCTAAAAAAGAATACAAGGGGGAAAGAAAAAAAAAGTAGTTAGAGTTGCTGAAGTGTCAGAAAGGGAGTCACTCCCAGCAATCCCAGCACACACATTTAGTTGTTCCCACCTACCTTGGCCAGTAACCCACCCCAACCCGGGCACCCCAGCCCAGGACCTCAGCTCTCTACCCTCAGAAGCTCAGGTTCTAAGCCTGGCGATGGCACTCCTACCCTCATCAATAATGGATCACCACAAAGGCTCCACTGTTCCTCTGTCAAGCCTCTAGCACTCTACACCCTGATCATCTCTCCAGCCTCTGGTTACTCCACACCCAAACCTGCCCACCCTATAATTCTTCAAGATAATAATCAGAAAAACCAGGATGTCATAAGCATAGTAAGCAGGGCCTGGCCACCACTGCCTTACACGTTTCTAAACTGACATTCCACACAGGAACAATTGCGGACTAACTGTTGAAGCACCAAATCCCCTCACTCTACAAAACCAAGCATCCATGCTCACATCAGACAGTTCCCTAGCACACTGTACCTCAGCCTACAGCTCAGTTCTAGATGTAGCCTTCAGACTGCCAGCCTACTAGGAGAAACTGGAGACCCCACTAGGCACATCTTACTGCTATGTATGTAGACTGCCACAACACTCCTACGCATCCTCTTAGAATGCATGCCAGTGCTTAGATGACTCTAGCTTAACATGGGTCTTGGAGGCTGGAGAGATGAGAGAGCTGAGAGCCGGTAAGAACACTGGCTTCTCTTGCAGAAAACCTGGGTTCAATTCCTACCACCCACACAGTGGCTTATAACCACCCTGTAACTTTTTTGTTTTCATGATTTATGTATTTTATATACGAGTACACCATTGCGCTCTTCAGACTCATCAGAAGAGGGCATCAGCTCCCATTTACAGATGGTTGTGAGCCACCATGTGGTTGCTGGGAGTTGAACTCAGGACCTCTGGAAGAACAGTCAGTTCTCTTAGCCATCACTGAGCCATCTCTCCAGCACCACCCTGTAACTCCTATTCCAAAGGATCTGATGCCCTCTTCAGACTTTCACAGGGACCAAACACACAAACATGAAGGCAAAATAGTCATACAAGAAAAATAAAGATATGAAGTAGTTAGAAAAACAGACAAACCACAAGGTCTGAACTGGAACCCGGCACCCAAGCCCAGCCGCTCTCCAGTGTTAACCATTCCCACTCAGGCATTCATTTAGGAGTTCTCTTTTAAACATTTACATCCATTTACTTGGGAGTGGCCAGTGTGCTATTGCACACATGTGGAGGTCAGGACCACTTGCAGGAGTCCACTCTCTGCTTCCACCACATGGGTTCCAGTCGTCAGGCTTGGCAGCAACTACGCTTGCCCACTGATGCATCTAACTGGCCCCATTTAGAAACTCAATAGCCGGGCGATGGTGGCACACACCTTTGATCCCTGCACTTGGGAGGCAGAGGCAGGTGGATTTCTGAGTTCGAGGCCAGCCTGGTCTACAGAGTGAGTTCCAGGACAGCCAGGGCTACACAGAGAAACCCTGTCTCGAAAAACCAAAAAAATAAAAATAAATAAATAAATAAATAAATAGAAACTCCTCAATAACTGAACTCTAACATTGGACTATTTTTACAAAAGTCACCGTCGGCTCTCTACGTCTGTGAGTTCTACATCCACATGTCAACCAACCATAGATTTAAAATACTCAGGAAAAAACTACACCTGTATTGAACATGTACAGATTTCCTTCTCTATCATTTCCTACAGAAATAAAGGGAAAACATTCAAGCTGATTCTTTTAAAATGTCGGGAGAGGGTTGTTGGACTCAGCAGTTAAGAGCACCTGTTGCTCTCTCAGGGACCTGGGTTCCATTCCCAGCTCACAACCATCTGTAACTCCAGTCCCAGGGGTTCTGATGGCTTCTGGCCTCTATAGATACAAGGCAATTACCATACACATAAGGTTATTTTTTTAAAAAATAGAGAAAATGTAAGCAGTAAATATTGCAAAATCTAAGCCCTTGTTTAGGGAAAAGGAAATGTTCCGTATCACAAGGATAATGAAGGATACACCACGGTAAATACAGAAGTTCCCTGAAAATCTGTCTGGGATCATACAGTATTCATTCAAATGCCCTTAATCTTAATTTTGAATACTGAATAGTTCTCAACTGGGCTAGTAATATTTGTTCTGAAGTTCCTCTGCATAGCCTTCCCCTTCCCCAGTGCCTTGTAGGGACATATCTGCACAACTAACCCAGCTTCAGCACAGCCTTATCAGGGTCATTAAGGTGACTGATTTGGCAGCTCAACATCACCCTGTAATTCAGCCGCTTCACATGTTTGCAGGGTTTTTTCTGAAGGAGTTATACCTGCTTTCTCAGAAACTGTCTGCTTGCTTTGACCCCATCCCAACCCCACTCCACGCCAGCACATCACCACGTGGCTCAGCTGTCAATCATCAGGCTCTTGGCTTACCTTCTTGATATAGGCAGCAATGTCCTTCTCTATGTTGTACTTCTCCATGGCCTGTGTGGCGCAGTCAACGGCATCCTGTTGCATGTCCTCAGACATGTCTGCGTTCTTGATCACTGCCTTCCGGTCAGACATCGTGACACTGCAGTAGGAGCACAAAAGTAAAGCTGGTGACGTCTCCGTGTGAGCAACAGACCAAGCTATGGGTTGTGAGCTACAGGGTCAGGGGATGGTAGACACGGTGGAAGCATATAAACACACACAAGAGAGAAGCTTATGCTGGGTAAGGTGGCACTTGCCTTAAATCCCAGCACCTAAGAGGCAGAGGTAGTTGGATCTCTAAGTTCAAGGCCAGCCTGGTCTACAAAGGGAGTTCCAGGTTAGCTAAGGCTACAGAGTAAAATCCTTGTCAAAAAAAAAAAAAAGCCACTTAGAAGCATTCAACAGAAATATGGTCCCTACCTCTTGGAAAAACAGGACAAGAAAGGAAGGGAAAAAAGATGTGGCTGTAAGATGCTGTGCCTTAGAAGCACACATAAGGCTTTCTAACAGCCACCTACTTCATAGGCTCTGAGTGTCAGTCAGCACAACACTTAGTGCCAAAGAGACACATCGCAGCACCTAACTGCAGCTTCCAGCAAGTTAATTCACCTGTTTTTATGTCACCATCTGTAAAATGGGGTAGAAGCAGTGTCCTAAGAATAAACCAGAAGCTCACACCTGAAGAGATTAAGCACCTGACTTAATGACTATTATCTACCACTGGTCTTCACAGGAGAAACCCTGCTAGAAATCAGTATCCCTGACTTCTGGTCCTGACTCTGAACCTTTGTGGTCTCAACAAGGCATCTGGCCTTTCTGTATCGATTACTTCCATTTTAGCAATGAGGTCAGCTCTCAACTGGAGGTTGTTTAAGAATTAACTAAGGTTACTTGAGAGCATCTGCAAATAAGGAGAGCCCATGCAAGGGGCTGGCTATCCGTCTGCCAGACTCAGTTACCACCTGTTTTTATGAATCAAAGTTTCATAGGAATATGTTACAATAGCAGAGTTCTAGAGATTGTTCTGACCATAAATCCTAAAATACTCACTGTCCCCTCACAGAAAAAAGGCCAACTCCACTTTGATAAAAATAAAAGAGGGCTTCATACATAAGGCCTGCTGGCAAAGAGGTAATAATGGCCTCTTAAATGTTGGGGCTGATGTTACCTCAAGCCAGAGAAGCAGTCACGTGTCACCACACCCATGTCACCACACCCAATTCTGCTCCCCTCTCTCCTCACAACACTGCTCGGTCTTTAAAGTGAATACAATTTTTGAATTCTTTTAGTCACAGCCCCAACAATGATTGTCATTTCTCTGAATTTTTGCTTCCTTGTGTAAAAATCATTTGTATTCATTCAAAAGCATTAATGAAGTGAACATTTGGAGAAATATGACCTGATGGGAGCACTGAGAACTTTCCCTTAAACATAAAATCAGGGTCAGGTGTGGTGGTTTGCACCTGAAAATCTAACACTTGGGATGTAGAGGCAGGAAGGTAGGTCAGACATTTAAAGCCAACCTCAGCTACAATGAGGCTGTGTTTCAAACAACCACAACAAAGGACATAGGTGAGGAGCACGACACTGACCTATGCGGACTAAGAAAAAGCTTAATATTTTTTTTTTAGTTGTTTTGTTTTATTTTGTTTTTTGAGACAGGGTTTCTCTGTGTAGCCCTGGCTGTCCTGGAACTCACTCTGTAGACCAGGCTGGCCTCGAACTCAGAAATCCACCTGCCTCTGCCTCCCAAGTGCTAGGATTAAAGGCATGCGCCACCACTGCTCTGCTTTTTGTTGTTGTTATAAGCTTAGTATTTTTATAGCCTTGTTTCAGAGCTATGCTTCCTGGACTGTGGCATGCACCATAAGGCAAGCAACCAGACTTCAGAGACCGAGCCACATAGACCCTTCTACCCTGGCAGCCTATAGTCATGTGAGCTACCTTACATCCAAAGAAACAAGCTACAGAACCCTGCCCCTGCCCTTGACTGGTCTCATCACTCACAGAAGTACTGATACCCCTTAAGTCAACTCCAAAAGCAACACTGGTTGTGGCCCAGCCTAATGGGGACAAAAAAGATACTATCCCCTCCTAGTCTTAACACAAGGCTACACAGGACCCTAACTGCTCAAGGTGAGATACCTGGTATCATTCCAAGCCACTTCTTATCTACGGGCATACTACCTACCGAGAGGGAAAGAACCCAGACCGTCAAATGCACACAATGTATGCATGACGGCTACCAGGCAAGGAACCTTGGTCTGACACTGTCAAATGAAGCAAGGCTTCTCCCACTTAAGCGACACTGGCTAGTGTTTAGCTCAGACGCCCCTATCCCAGAGAAAACATGGAGCCTCCAGGAGTCTGTGATGACCGAAGAAAAAAGGTCAAGTGATGCCTGTTCAAGGCTGACTAGCTCTATGACCTTGGGCAAACAATCATGTTTTAAAAAATAACAGCTGAGGGCTGGTGAGATGGCTCAGTGGTTAAGAGCACTGACTGCTCTTCCAGAGGTCATGAGTTCAAATCCCAGCAACCACATGGTGGCTCACAACCATCTGCAATGAGATCTGATGCCCTCTTGTGGGGTGTCTGAAGACAGCTACAGTGTACTTATAATAAATAAATAAATAAAGTTAAAAAAAAAAATAACAGCTGAAACGAGAGAAACGGGAACATCTCCAGGAGGTTTGAGAAAAGAAAAATGCTGATGTAGTAAGACCTTTCTAGAAGTGAAGAAAAAAAAAATGTCACCTGGTGGCCTATTCCAGGTTCCCACTCAGAAGGGGGCAGTGTTTACAAATCCAGAGATTGGGGGTGGAGCCTGGCTACAGACAACGAAGTATGAAATTGGCACCATTTTACCAAAAAGCTCACCTGCTTCGCTGCCTCCTCCCCAAAGTCCAAAGGATCAACTTTGTCACAGTAATTAAAAGCTACCTTATTCTCCAACAGAGAGAGCCTACGATTACATAATGCTGGTCTTGTGACTACAACGCCACGATTCTTCACCCCTCAGGAGTCGCAGAAAGGTGAGGCCCTGCACCGGCAACCCCTATCCAAGGTACCAGTGAGAATAGGATAGGGAACCAGACGCCCAGCTATCCTTTCCTTCCTGGGGGGCGGGGGGGCGGCGGAGCTGGGCCTCCAGATAAAAGGATGGCCAAAGGGCCTCAAGCCAGCTTCCTGAGTCACGAGCCAGGAGCTCCTGTGAAAAACGCAAAAGGAGCACTCCAGGACAGTTCTCAACCTCTGTCCCTTGTCTTGCGATTTAAAAAAAAAAAAAAAAGAAAAAAAAAAAAAAGAAAAAAAATTAAAAAAAAAAACGAGCTAAGCCTCCAAATGACACCGACCGCCCTGCACCATTCTTTAACACGTACAAACGTTATTGCCTCGTTTCGGATTTTCAAGAGGGCCGTAACACCTCGTCCCAATACACCGCCCCCCACCACCATTTTTTCCTCCAGAGGGCAGGGACCACGAAGGGCAGCACCTGGGGAACTGAGAAAGCATCCCCCTCCTTCCCCGCCGGGTCCGCAGGCCGCGGCCGGTCCTCCGCCCTCCCCCGCCAGGCCTGGAGAGGCGCCGGAGTGACCGGGCGACCTCGCTGCAGGAAGGACGCCCCGAAGGGTGGCGGCGGCGGCGGCGGCGGGAGGAGCCGCGTCGTGCCCGAACCCTCTCCATCCGCACTGGCTGCCTGCGCTCCTCGGATCCCAGAGGCTCCCCCAGGGGCTGCGGGATCTCTAGCCAGCGCACGAGGGTCTCCAGAGCCTGGGCCGAGCAGGGCGAGGGCTGCCCCCGGGGCCCCGCTCACCGTCACGCAGGCGAGTCCGCACAGGCCCCTAGGGAGCAGCGCTGGGCTGAAGCAAAGCGCGGGCAGGGGCGGTGTCCCCTGGGTACGTCCTGCAGCAGCAGCCGCTGCCGCCGCGGTATCCCCCTGCTCCCGTAGCCCCGGGCCGAGCGCTCGCGCTGCTGTTCGCCCTCCGAGCTTCCTCGGACGCCCGCGCTCTGCCTCGCGCCACCCGGCCGACCGCCTGTCCCGGACGATACCTCGCCGTTCGCTCTGCTCCGCCGCTGAGCGCGGCCGACGCGCGGCCCTGAAATAGAGCCCCGCCCCCGCCCCCCTGCCGCGCGCGCCGCCGTCCGCGCTCCCTATTGGCTGCGGCCGCCGGGCCCCGCACTGCGGGCTTCTCCCCGCGCCGCTCTCGCTCCACATCTTGTTTCGTCCCACAATGCCTCGGGGCGGAGGAGGGGGTGGGGAAGGGGAGTTGAAGAAGGTGGGGGGAGGGAGCTGTGGCCTTAGGAGGTAGAAAGGAGAATGCAGACCCCCCCTCTGTCCAGGCCTGAAGAGGCCTGACTCAGGAGGAATAGAGTAGACCCAGAAAAGAAAAGGAGAGAGGCGTGGAGATTCCAGTTCCAAGAAAGGAAGAATGGAGGGATGGAGATTTCAGACTCAGGAGAGAAGGGCTCCAGGTCCCAACTTTGGAAAGAGGCAGGACAGGAGATTAAAAAATCACCAGGGACGGAGGAAAATTCAGGACTTCATTATTCTAGGCTGGCAACACTTGAGAGGAACGGCCAAGCTCCGTGGTGAAATAAAGGCGTAAACAGTCCTCAAGGGCCCCCCTGGCTTCACATTCTCTTTTGCTTCTAACTCAGCCTTTGTTCATGATTCTTGAGACTTTTCTACTTAATCATAGCTGGAACTGTAACTACACGATCATCAAAAATATCAGAAGTTCAGCCTCTACAGTTTATGGCCTTTGGGGATAGAGGTGAGAACCATTTCCTGTCTGTCGTTCCCAGGGAATGAAAAGGAACTCCTCTAAGTATGGGTTGTGGGGTATCTTTAAAAACTACTTCATCCATAGCCCTCAAATAGAGACAGAACAGGCTGGATGGTGGCGGCACACTCCTTTAAGCTCAGCACTTGAAAGGCAGAGGCAGGCAGATCTTTGAGACACCAGTCTAGTCTACAGAACTAGTTTCAGAACACCCAAGGCTACACAGAGAAACTCTGTCTCAAAAAAAAAAAAACAAAAAACAACAACAACAAAAAAAAACAGACAAAAAGTGTAAACAACACAGATTCAGACTCCTTGCCAGGTCAGCTCCCCTGGTCTACACTCGAATGGGAGGCTTTAAAGTTCAGAAAGCAGACACTGGTTTTGTGTGTGCATGCGTGTGTGTGTGTGTGTGTGTGTGTGTTGTTTTCAAAAGTGTTCATAGCACTCCGATACAGAAAAGACACTGAGATTTTTCTTCCTAAACTTTCATGCACAAAGAGTCTATCTAAAGTCTTCAGTGGGAAGTCAAACATTCTGGCCTCGAAATTGCCTAGCATAGCTCCTGGGCCCATCTTTTTATCTTCCCTCACCTAAACCTTGAGAAGCCAAACTAGTGCTCTGGCCTTAGCCTGTCCTGCTTAGGAGTATCATGATTTAGTGTTCATTGTGTGTCCAGGACAACTTGGAAAACTGTCTCCTCAGGCTTCTTCATTCCACAGCTCTGTCTTTTCCATTAAGGGACTCAACCAGGCTAGGCCTGAGGTCTCCCTTCATTCAGGGGGTATTCTGATGTCAGCCTGTGTTAATGAATGAGGGGTGGGGTACATGTGGGGAGGGGCTAGAGGATGCCTCACCCACCTAGGGCTCTTGAGGGGCAGCTCTTAGGAAGTTAGGAAAGAGAGAACTAACACCCTCTTTTCCCAACCTTCATTAGTTTTGAAGATCTGAAGGTCACAACTACGAAGTAAGGTTGTATACAAGCTGTCCATTGCCCAAGGACAGCTGATGGAGGGAGCAAGTGGAAGCATATATGCTACTTGCTTCCTGATGTGTCCTGATACAGGCCAACACTCTTTGGTAAGCCGGGCAGTGGTGGTGCACACCTTTAGTCCCAGCACTTGGGAGGCAGAGACAGGCAGATTTCTGAGTTCGAGGCCAGCCTGGTCTACAGAGTGAGTTCCAGGACGGCCAGGGCTACACAGAGAAACCCTGTCTCAAAAAAAAAAAAAAAAAAGAAAAAAAAGACAGGGTCTCACTATGTACACTATGTAACTCTGGCCGTCCTGGAACCCACTATGTAGACTCAAACTCACAAGGATCTCTCTGCCTCTGCCTTCCAAGTGCTAGGTTTAAAGGTATTCAACACTACACCCAGCTCCAAAGTCCTTTTTTAATCCAAACATTAATATCTCCAGGAGCAGAGTTTAGGAAACTTGTCCTATACTAATTAATACTATTTATGCAAATTACTACCTAAGACAACTACTATGCAGCATTGTGACTAGGATACCTAACGGCTTTGCCTAACTTGGCGGTTGTCTATTTGACAGAGCCTTTTGAAATTGCCTAGCTTCCTTAGCTATCAGTCATGACTTCTGATTTAAAATGGAAGGGGTTGATTTTGTCTTGTTCTTAGGCTTCTTATCTTCTGTCTGTTTTGATTTCAGGGCTCCTGAGATCACCCTCAATTTACAAGTTTCAACCTTATCTATTGCTTTTAACTATGACCTAGACTAGACCCTAGGCACACTTCCCATCCCCAGATTTCTCCACACAAGCCCTTCACACACACACACTCACATACGCACACCCTAATGGTTAGCAGCATCGTTCCTAGAATAGGTGCCTTTGATTCTAAATTCTTTCCACAACTCAAAAGCTGTGCGGTGTGCACAAACTCTCATTTTCCTCAATTATAAATTGGGAATAATATCTGCTTTATAGAGGTACAGAAAAAAACACATGAAAACTCTTGACCCAAGAGCCTGGGCCATCCCTGAAGCTGATGAATAAACTCTAACCATCATCATTTTTCCCTTCCCTGGAGTTCTTATCTCCGCTCTAAGCCCCATGCACACGCCAGAACCCAGGACTTGTGTCTCCCTCTTACACCCACCACAGAGTCATCCCTGCTCCCTGCCTGGTTTTCCAATCATTGCAAATGCTTCGCTACTCATCACCTCTTGGTTCCTGTGTCACCGTTGGCTCTTTCACTTCAGGATTAGCCCTTCTCAACCTTCCTAATGCTGCGATTCTTTAAGACAGTTCCTCACTAACCATAAAAGAATTTTCGTGGAATTACTCTTTACAATTGTAATTTTGCCAGCTTCAAATCGTAACATAAACATCTGATATGCAGGCGATCTGATCTACAACCCCTGTAAAGGGGCTGTTTGACTCCCAAAGGTCTGCTCTACCCCAGGAATCCATTAACAATGCAGAGATTTCTCCTCTATTCAGAATGAAGACTTTGCCCTTCTCCACAGCACGCTCTCTGCTTCTACGCACACAGCTCTGGTGCCAGGTCTCTCCACACCTCCCATCGCGTGCCTGCTGCTCCTCTAACACCTCAGCTGACTGCATCCCCCACGTGCAGATTCCATACCTTTGTTCCAGTGGTTCTTTCCCCCTTGAGACTTGTAGTCTCCCTTCCTGGCTTACTTTAACATCTGAAATGCCTTCCCTGGCTCTCACGGGGGATTGTGTACCTGCTGCATGCTTTGTAACTTCCAGAACCTGGTTACTAACCATTCTCTATTAAAACTTGTCAATATTGGATTTGTCTGTCATTTCTTGCTGATAGAGAACACGTGTGTTTTCTGTGTACACTGAAGGACCTAACACAGTTCCTGAAACCAGGGGAAAATTTCCTATGCCTTAGGTAACCTGGGCATTCCCATCAGTGGCTAAAAAGGCACAACTAGATGAACCCGCCTTTTCTTCCAGGCAACTAGGCTCCTGTGTTTCTCTCTCCAGAACCAGCAATGCACACTGTTTACACTGGGCTCTCCCTGCCCAGAACAAATTGCCAGCTAAGATAAACCATTGTCAGTGCTGGGGAAGGTCCAGCCTTGGTTTCTAAATTGACTACCTCCTCACTTTCTGCTGAGTGGTCCGCTGGGATCCTTAGGTAAACGTCAGCTGACTGGGTTGCCTACAGGGAGGAGTCCACAGGCTATGGAGGTACCAGAAGTCATTTTGACAAGTCCTTTATCGGGTGAGTTACTTCAATGTCTACAGAAAATTGGAGAAGGGTTAACCTGAGCTACACAGTGAGTTCTGGCCCAAATTGTGCTACAACATTAAACCGTGTCTCAGAAAGGGAGACAGGGAAGGGAGGGGAGGGGAAAGGAGGGTGGAGAGAGGAAGAGAGAGAGAGGGAGAGAGGGAGGAAGGGAAGGAGAGAGAGAGAGAGAGAATCATGTATAAGGAAGACTCTGTTCTTATGGTCATAAACACATACACACTTTCTCGTCCTCAGTCTCAGAGTTTGATAAAAAAAATAATAATAATAATGAGGTTAGCTCATAGGAAGACTCCAGGGCCTCACACATACCAAGCAAACTCTCTGCCATTTGGTAATATCCCCAGGCCTGCCTCCTCCTTTTTTTTTTTTTTTAATATTTTGAATTTTTTTTTTCTGGTCTGGGCATCGACCCCAAGCCTTGCCTGTGCTAAGGAAGAAATCTACCACTCAGCCCACGCTTCCTGTCTTCTTCTGAGAGTAATTTTGAAAAACATAAAACCAAATAAGCCAACCAACCAGAACACAAGCATTTTAACTCACCAGGCATATGAAAACACAAGCCAGCAAAGAACTTTATGGGGACTCTTCATTAGGAGAATGGAGGCCAAATTTACATTTCAACACAAGGTAGTCCTACTTTTCCCACATCATTTATGTGTGAGCACACACTACCTTGTTCAGAAGGTAAGTAGGTTTTTTGTCAATTTTATACAAACTAGAATAACCTGGGAAGAGAGAACCTCAGTTAAGGAATTGCTTCCATCAGATTGGCCCGTGGGCATGTTGGTGGGTCATTTCCTTTTTTCTTTTTTGTTTTTTTGGTTTTTTGTTTTTTGTTTTTTTTTTTTTTTTCGAGACAGGGTTTTTCTGTGTAGCTCTGGCTGTCCTGGAACTCACTCTGTAGACCAGGCTGGCCTCGAACTCAGAGATCCTCCTACCTCTGCCTCCCGAGTGCTGGGA